GCAGCAGCAGCAGCAACAACAATCAGCAGCAGTAGCAGCAGCAGCAGACACAAGTCTCTGCTGCGTAGCAGACAACTACCAACGGCCTGGGCCTCCTTTGTGCGTGGCCTCTGCAGCAGCAGCTTCTAGGGTTTAGGGTTTAGGGTTTAGGGTTTAAGCTTTTAAAGACCTATTTGACAGCGAAAACAATATCTTCCCTCTAGCTCTCCCTCATCAGGGTTTAGGGTTTACAGGCCTAGGGTTTAGGGTTTGTATCTATCTACGGTTTAGGGTTTACACTTAGGATTTTAGGTTAAAACGAGGGTTTAGGGTTTGCATCTAGGGTTTAGGGTTTTGCTTGAGGGTTTAGGGTTTAAGTCTAAGACTAAAAACTAGCGTTTAGGGTTTCTGTTTAGGGTTTAGGGTTTGTATCAAGGGTTTAGGGTTTACGCCTTGTATCTAGACTTAAGGGGCTAGGGTTTGCATCAAGGGTTTAGGGTTTGTAACAAGGGTTTAGGGTTTAGGGTTTATGGTTTAGGGTTTCAAGAAGTTGTGTGCGGTAATGCGGGTCAAAGAAGGCTCTGCTGGCGACCTGAGCAACAAAAGGAAGAAGGTGCCTAGACACCCCAGCAAGCCAAGTTGGTGCTGCTGCTTCTGCTGCTGCAGCAGCAGCAGCAGCAGCAGCAAACTCACCATCCAGCTTCTTATTTGCTGCTGTCAGCTGCAACCGCCGCCGCAGCAGCGCAGCAGCAACATATGCTTCTGCTTCTAGCAGCAAACCCTGAGGTGCTCCCGTCTGCATGCGCTGCTGCAGCAGCAGCAATTGCTGTTGGTGCTGCTGCTGCTGCTGCCGCTTCTGCTGCTCTGCTGCTGCTGCCCGTCGCTGCTGCTGCTGCTCTCGCAGCAGCTGCAGCAGAGGAATGTATACTGGCTTTGTTGTGTAGCAGCCCTCTGATGGGACATACCAGAAGAGACTGTCTCCTGCTGCTGTTGTTGCTGCTGCTGCTGCTGAAGGGCTCGGTGCTGCTGCTGCTGTTGCTGCTGCTGCTGTTGCTTCAGCACTCGCATTATGAGGCCCCCTGCTGCTTTCAAAGGCAGTAGGAGTTGTTGCTGCAGCGAAGCTTTGCTGCTGTTGATGCTGGGGGGATCTCATACTCTGCTGCAGCGGCAAGCCATCAGTCTGGTGCTGCTGCTGCTGCAGCAGCTGCTGCTGCAGCAGCTGCTGTTGTCGCTGCTGCTGCGCCCTGAGGTAAGGCGCAGCATCACGCCGCTGCAGCAGCTGCAGCAGCTCATTTGCTTCCTCTTTATCCCATACGAAGGCCTCTTCGTCTGCTGACTCTGCTGCTGCTTCTGCTGCTGCTGCTGCTGCTGCTGCTTCTGCTGCTGCTGCTGCTGCTGCTACAGAGGGCCTCGCCGCCCATGCGTAGGGAACAGCCTTCATCGTATTACGGTGGAGTTGTTGCTGCTGCTTCATTCGTAGCTGCTGCTGCTGCTGCTGCATCACTGCTGCTGCTGCTGCTGCTGTTGCATCAGACAGCAATGTGCGCTAAGCAATGGCAGCAGCAGCAGCAGCAGCAGCAGCAACAGCAGCAGCAGCAGCAGCAGCAAACACAGTGAGAAGCGAAGCCAAAATTAGAAACTCCACAAGTGTTTGTAACCCGGGAAGCGCTAAATAAACAAAGTTTTTTTATGTTGCTGCTGCTGCTTCTGCTGCTGCTGCTGCTGGTCTTCTGCAGCCCCAGGTCAGCAGCAGCAGCAGCAGGAGCTGTTGCTGCTGCTGCTTCTGCTGTAGCTGCTGCTGTTTTATTTGCATTTTCTGGCTTATTTTCTTACTGTTTACTGTCTTAAAGAGAGTCAGGGCTATTGACAAAGATACACATCAGTGCTGCTGCTGGACCTGCTGCTGCTGCTGCTGCTGCTGCAGCTGCTGCTGCTGCTGCTGCTGCTGCTGCTGCTGCTCTTCAAAGGAGAGCAGCAGCACAGGTATTGTGAAGTGTCTTCTTTTTCTTATGCTGCTGCAGCTCAAGTGCCAGCATGACAGTCACAGACCAGCTACAGCGGCAGCAGCAGCAGCAGCAGCGGCAGCAGCAGCAGCAGCAGCAACTGGGTGGAATTGTTGAGGTGACTGCTGCTGCTGCTACTGCAACAGCAGCAGGAACAATCGCTCGCTGCTGCAGTAACGTTTCTGACAGTACAGTTGAGCCGGAACAGCCAGACACAGACCAGCAGCAGCAGCAGCAGCAGCAGCTGCAGCAGATGCTGCTGCAGCAGCAGCAGCAAGATCTGGAGCAGCAGAAAGATGCAATTATTTCTGCTGCGCTTCTGAAGGCAGCGCAGCTTATCCCCGAGTATTTAGGGATCCCTGCAGACTTTGCTGCTGCTGCTGCTGCTTCTGACTGCAGCAGCAGCAGCAGCTGCAGCAGCAACAGGGAGCAGCAAATCCATCAGCTGCTGCAGGGAAGCGTCTTAACTGGAGGAACAACAAACAGCATTGTTAAGGTGTCTAGGAGAGATAAAGAGAGCCCTTGCTGCCTTGTTCGCTTCTATGGTAAACCCTAAACCCTAAACCCTAAACCCTAATGAGGAGTCTCTTCTTCCTAAACCCTACAACTCCCTTTTAAACCCTCTTCCTCTTTGAAACCCTCTGCTGCAGGCGCTGTGCATCCTCTGGGTCAAGGGTTTAGGGTTTCATCTATTAGGGTTTAGGGTTTAGGGTTTAGGGTTTAGGGTTTGAGTGCAGGCCGCAACACTTCTTTGTGGATAGACAGACAGCGCGAATTTGCAGTGCTGCGGCTGCTGAGTGGAGAGGGGGGGGGGAAGAAGATATTGGCTTCCTTTCAGGTAAACCCTAAACCCTAAACCCTAAACCCTAAACCCTAGTTAGTAGGGAACCCTCTTACACCTCGGGTAGCCGTCGTAGTCTCCCTAAACCCTAATCAAGCGAATTATATAAACCCTATTATTAATTCTTCATGCAAACCCTAAAACCCTAAACCCTTGTATATACCTCAGTAAACCCTACTAGAAACCCTAATAAACCCTAATTATATATATATATATATATATAAATCCTTATATATACACCTTAATAAACCCTAAGAAACCGACGTAAACCCAGGCAAACCCTTTTCGCTCTAAACCCTAAACCCTAAACCCTAAGTGCCTCCACTTGTGCATTCGTTTAAGGAGTTTAGGTATTAGGGTTTAGGGTTTAGTAGGGTCTGTGAGGGTTTATCAAGGGGTTCAGCCCCCACGATTAATAGGGTTAGGGTTTAGGGTTTGGATAGTTGAGGGTTTGCAGACAAGGGCCTGACTGCTCTAGTGGGTTTATTGTTTATTATTTAGGGTTTATGGTTTAGGATTTAGGGTCTAGGGTTTAGGGTTTACTGTTTTAGGATTTAGTGTTTAGGGTTCTATGGTTTAGGGTTTAGGGTTTAGGGTTTAGTGTATTAGGGTTCAGGGTGTCGGGTTTCGGCTTTCATGGTTTATTGTTCATGGTTTAGGGTTTAGGGTTTAGGGTTTTTTGGCTTAGGGTTTACTGTATTAGGGTTTAGAGTGTCGGGTTTCGGCTTTCATGGTTTATGGTTTAGGGTTTAGGGTTTATGGTTTAGGGTTTAGGGTTTAGGGTTTAGGGTTTGGTTGTTTGCAGGGTGGAGTGATAGAGTCATTTGTTCCGGGGTCTCCTCTGCTTCCTGAGGGTTTAGGGTTTGCAGCAGACAAAATAGCGAAGGCACTTGCACTGCTGCATGCGCTGCCTCTTCATTCTCAGTCTTCTTCTGCTGTATGTTTATTTATTTATTTATTTATTTATTTATTTATTTATTTATTGTTTATTATTTGTTTGTTTGTTTACTTGTTTATTGTTTATTTATTTATTTATTTATTTGTTTGTTTGTTTTTTTCTGCATTTGTTTTGTTTTTTAGTTTTTATTGTCGTCTGTTTCTGCTAAACTTCGCCTCCTTTAAGTAAAATTCAGGGTTTAGGGTTTAGGGTTTAGGTCTTAGGGTTTAGGGCTTAGGGTTTAGGGCTTAGGGCTTACGGCTTAGGGTTTAGGGTTTAGGGTTTAGGGTTTAGGGTTTGCGTTGCAGCGGTTGATTAGCGAATTTAATGCGGACGGCTCTGCGGTGTCTGCTCTCTGGCCCAAACTGCAAAACTTTCTCGATATGTAGGCTTGTTGAGGGTTTAGGGTTTAGGGTTTAGGGTTTAGAGCTTAGTGTTCAGGGTTTAGGGTTTTAGGGATCACGGTTCTAGGGTGTAGGGTTTCAGCGTTTAGGGTTTGAGGCTTTGCGGCTTCAGGGTTTAGGGTTTAGTCCCCATGCTTAGGCTTCCAGAGCTTAGGGTTTAGGGTTTAGGGTTTAGGGTTTTGTTTGCAGGTGCTTTGCTGAGAAGGCTAGGCTGGGTTCTGCATTTCATCTTGACGATTGTGACAAACTTCCAGCGGTGCGGCTTTCTCAGCTAACTTAGGGTTTAGGGTTTAAGGTTTAGGGTTTAGGGTTTAGGGTTGTATGTATGTATATTTATATTTATATTTATATTTATTTATTTACATTAATATTTATATTTATATTTATTTAGATTTATTTATTTACATTTGTTTATATTTATTTATTTATATTTATATTTATTTATATATATATATATTTATTTATTTATTTATATTTATATTTATTTATATTTATATTTATTTATATTTATATTTATATTTATTTATATTTATATATTTATATTTATATTTATATTTATTTATTTAGGTGTTTGATTTATTGCGAAAAGAATTGGAGGGCGGCAGCCGCGTGGTTTTATGCCACGGCGATTTATTAGCAGGGAATATAATTCATCAAGAAGACGGTAATTGTTTATTTATTTATTTATTTATTTATTTAATTTAATTTAATTTAATTTAATTTAATTTGTTTATTTTATTGCGCTTCGTTTGATGTGCTTATCGCTGTGTATTCAGCTCTTGGGGTCTAGGGATTAGGGTTTAGGGTTTAGGACTTAGGGTTTAGGGTTTAGGGTTTAGGGTTTGTGTGCAGGCTCCATTTGCTTTATTGACTTTGAATATGCTGCTGCAATGGAGCGAGCGTTCGACATTGCCGGTCATTTCATCGAATACGGAGGTAATTAGGGTTTAGGGTTTAGGGTTTAGGGTTTAGGGTTTACTGTGCTGGCAGTTGAGGACTAGGGTTTAGGGCTTTGTGTTTTGGCGACTAGGATTTACGGTTGAGAGTTCGGGTTATTAGGGTTTTGCTAATTAGGGTTTAGGGTTTAGGGTTTAGGGTCTTGGCAATTAGGGTTTAGGGTTTAGGGTTTAGGGTTTAGGGTTTTGGTAATTAGGGTTTAGGGTTTAGGGTTTTGCGTTGTTTAGGGTTTGAATGCGAGTGGCACCGCATTCCAACTCCAGCGCAGCAGCGAGCCTTTCTTAGGGTGTATCTGCAGCAGCTGCGGCAGCAGCAGCAGCAGCAGCAGCAGCAAGAAGCAGCAGCAGCAGATATTGAAGAGGAAGTGCAGCAGCTGCTAGATGAGATACAGCCTTTCTTCGCCGTCTCCCATCTCTACTGGGGTAAACCCTAAACCCTTATCTAAACCCTAAACCCTTATCTAAACCCTAAACCCTTATCTAAACCCTAAACCCTT